CTGTTGTGGCCCAGCAGGAGCCGTTGGAGCTGCCACCAGACTCTGACAGCGAGGGGCCCTATGAGTCGGCTTTGGAGGATGTGGAGGACCCTGGACAGGGTTCCAACTCCGAGCAGGGCACAGAGAGGCTGGTTGGCCACCAGGACGCACCCTGAGCCTTGGACCAGTGTGGAGGAGACAAGGGAGTGTGATCTGGACGTCAGCAGTGGGGAGGAGCCAAGGAAGTTGTTCCTAGATGCCCAGCACCGGAGATAATAGGCATAAGGAACAATTATGCAGTTACAGGAGGTAATTGGAACTCAGCTGGTGGTAATTAGGCTCCTCTCAAGACTATAAAAGGAATGCTTGTGCACACGCCCCTTTTGCAGGAGTCAACGCATTAACTAATGTTGGAGAACTGTAGTGTTAGCTTGGCAGGCTGAATTGCTGCCACGGTTTATCTGTGCTGGATTGCTTGCTGCCAAGGACCTGTCTGTTAATAAATTCCGTAAAATATCTTTGGCTCAGCGTGCTTTGGTGTGGGACGAGGGGGGTCAGAACAGCTATCTATCCATTCTTCTATTGCTAAATCTATTAAATATTCTGATGAAGTACATGCTCCTACCCACAATTATAAAGTTACTCGCAAATAATAATCTTTCACTTGGTTAAAAAAAGCCTAGCAGCTTGAAAACCGGGGACCCTTACCAGGGAGGCGTGTCAACAGAACTAGCAGGCTAGAATTGCCCATCCTGGCCTCTCCCGTCGATCCAATGGAGAAATAGTTGCTTTGGAGCACACAGAATCAGGGTTCTCAAACAAGTATCACAAGTAACTTATAAACTGGACACAGTTTCTGTTTAAGGCTTTCTGCTTTGTACAGATAAAGTAGGGCATTATAAAAATCTGTTCTATATAATTTCCCGTAAATATTTTTTTTATTTCTAAGTACTTTTATTCCGGTTTCCTATTTATAGCATTCATGTTACATAATAATTAAATCAATTGCTTGTATACTCCCTTAAAATTAGGTTTGATTTGGTCGTTACCTCCACTATTAATTAGCATTGTCTTGTAGGTAGGGGCAGCGACTGAACTGCATTTAATCAATCTATCCGCCAGCACAAGAGAAACAGTTGGCAAAGCAGATTTCCCTTTTCTGTGTCAGCAATCCACATTCCTTAATCTGCTCCAGGACATTAATTAACATTCCAAAACAGATTTAGAAGATATAAGGAAGAACAGGAATTTTTGATATTAGACAGAACTCATAATGATTACCAAAGATGGTACAACATGGCTATATATTTTTGCTGTTGTTGCAAATTAAACTTGCATTTCAAATATTATTTCAGATAGTGCAAACTGACATACATATATTTGATTATTGTTTGCCTCCAGGATGGCATTATTGAAAGAAAGAACCAAACATGCCATCTCATTAATCGAAGATTCTATGTTATTTCTACAATCCAAATGGAGATATGTATAACAGCTACAGAAACTCTCTCTATTTGTTTTATAAAACCTGAAGACATGATAGCGATAAGAAAAATATCTGGTTTACTCTATATATCATCTTCACCATACGACTGTCCTACGCATGCAATTTTTAGAAAATTTATTAATGTTTAAAGTGAGAATTTCAGTCAAAGGTTATTGTGCACTTTCAGAATTGTTTTATATTATATCAACATAGTAAATATTTTCACTGAAGAAAGAAGCATTTAAATGAATTTCAAATTTAATAATCTTCACCGAAGAATCTGAATCATTACATTCTGGATTGTGAAGTAAACAGTAAGCACTTAATTCAGGAAGAACCGCACAAACAAATGCATTTCTTTGCAAAGTAAATAATTCCCTAGAAAATAGTACTTCATATTATTTTGCCCTTTCTGCTAGTATGCCAAGCACTGTAAATTGTTCTTTACATTAACTTTTTCCTTCTCATTGGTGTTTTCACATCTTTTAATTACTTCGTATATTTTAAGGTTGTATTCCAGAGATGCATGCAAGAAAATGAACAAACTTTACACATGCAATTAAATTTGTAGCTACACAGTGCATGCATACAAATTCAGTATGTAATTCTATCTGTAATTTAGCAACACTTAAATCATAGGTGTTGTTAGAGCCACATACCCAGTAGATCCTAGATATCTTCTCTGGTTTATCTTACTTTTCTGTTTTAAAGGGATATTCAAAGATTAGCTCCTTAATTTTGTTTATTATCTGGAATTAACTGACTCCAGAATCAAGAGAGTAGGCAGCAGACAAATCCATATAATAAATATAAATAAATTGATCTGACCAAAGGAAGGATTAATATCATGCTTGCAATGGTATTATAACAAGAGTTTAGTTCACAAGCAAACAGAAAAGAAGTATTACATTGTCAATCAGTTCTGCTTGATAACTAAATCAAAATCAAGGAGACAAATGAATTTAATTTTTTGCTCATTGAGACACAAAGAACAATACAGTATAGAATCAATAATATAACAGGTAACTAAACCATGCTATTAATTGAAGAATATAAGGCAGCCTCTCCCCACAACCATTTTTGCATTCTTAAAACATACAAGCAGGTTAATACATTTGAATTATTTCATCTTTCCACTTACCTTTACCCCATGTCCAATATCATCAAGAATTGTATAATCAATAGGTTTCCTGATATAACGAACAGGTCGTTCCAAGTTGGCTGGTGCAATGATTTTGTGAGTTCTTGAAGTGTTTTTGTTTGTAGTCAAGATGCCAATTTCCCTTCTAGCCACTTTTTCTTTGTGTATATCAACTGTCTGCAGGCACAATGAATATATGTTCTTTAAAATCATCATTAAAGATCATTAAATAAAACAGCTATAATTGTTACACATTTTATTTCTTTTGGTATAATAAAATTTAATTTCATACAAAAATTTCTGTGATCTACAGAATAGTCCTTATACTAATGCTATATTAAGTAATTAAAGAAAAAAACAAATTCTTTTAAAATACAAATGACATTGTTAATTGAAAATAATGACATAAAATTTCATAACAGTTACATTTTCCCTAACATTAAGTGGAAAATATACTCCTTCTAGAAACATGATTCTATGTTCATGAATAATGTTATGTGATTAATAGTGTTACATCATGGATTCCTTCTATAGTCTTTTCTAAATACCTATGTCTGCTGCCCTCTAAGATCTCTACAGAAAGTTAACATTAGATACAACTGTGCAAAACATACTACTTCCATTCACTGTCCCAATATGACTTCCTGGAATGAAAATAATAATTGAATTGAATTGATTTTATTTGTAGGCCGCCCTTTTCCCTGAGGGGACTCAGGGCGGCTCACAGAAACCAGG